TCCGCGTGAGGCAGCGAAGGATATGCCGTTCAGAGGCGCGGGCTTTGCGGCCTTCGGTCTTTCGGCGGCCCGTGTTTGCTCATGCCACGCCTCCCTCCCCCCCGCACCGCACAGGGCATGTTTGCATGGGCTTCGGGAGAAGCGTTTTGTGAATGCTTAATTACAAAATGGCTCTCATGTTTGGGTTCCAGACTTTCGCGCCGCTTTAACCGTCAAACAAATATTTGTAGAAAAGCGCCAGGGCGCCATAACCATTGACATTTCGTTCTGTGGTCTGTTGACACACGCTTTTGCCACGCACACGTGCCCGTACCTGCCACATGCCACATACCACATGCCGCAGATCAGGGCCAAAAGCGAGAGGCGAGCGGCGAAATCAATGAACAAATATAAAGAGAGCAGAGCGCGAAGAACCAACAAAAGTTACAGCCAAAATTGGGTTTTCTTCGAATCTGCATGGAGCGGAAAAATTAACCAGGGAAATGCCATCAAGGAAATCCAGGAAGTAGCTACAAATGTGACAGATACAAGATACATTGCGGCAATGTTGTGAAGAAAAGGCCTCAAGGAAGACCAACAGAAGAACTAAGGAGACCCCTAGTACGAGGGGTCGAGGGTTCAAGGGTCCCAGGGAAATTATCCTCATTTGTGTCAAAGGCGAACAAGGGAAAGGCAGCCTCATTTGTGTCAAAAGAAAAGAAAATACACTGCCCTGAGGCTCTTGTCTCATGCATGATGATACGAGTACTTTCTGAGTCCTGGACTCTCACATCCTTGGGCCATCCTTCAATCATATCTCTCTCTTTCTTTATCTGCCTGTCTCTCTCATTTCGACAGCTGTCCATCAGACATTCAATGAACGATTGAATTAACAGAGACTCCAATAATGGACACAGTATTTTCACCAAAAAAAACGCCTTAAGCCCTCCTTGAGCTCTTGAAGCGTCTTTGGGGAAACTGCAAAAATTAAGCGCACACAAAACAAAGAAACCAAAGAATCTACGAAGAGAATTGCGGGTAAAACTTTAACAAAACAAAAGAAAAAAAAAAAAAACACCAACAAGATGTCAAAAAAAGTGAGAAAAAGTGCCAAAAACAAGGATTGGATGTTGAAAATTCCACGAGTGAACACAAAAATGGGGCGAAAAAATTGGGGAAAAATTGTAGCAAAAATAATACAACAATTTTTTGTTGTGGGGTGTGGAGGGGGGTGGGGCCAAGACCACAGCAATTAGAGGCAGCAACAACCAAAGAGACCAAAGCAACCGAAAAAAGAAAAAGCCAAAAGAAAAAGTTCAGAATTTTCAAGTTACACACGAGGAAAATTTCTAGGGAGGGAAAAGTAGGAAATGTGGGTGGTGGAGGGGGCGGGGGGAGTGGGAGTAAATTAAAGAATCACCCCAAGGCGGGCATCAACAGGCCACATCCTAAACAAAGCTCCCCCCACTGCCACATGCCACAGGAGGAGTCGGAATAATTCCTGCCACAAAGCGGAAAAATTGTTTCAGTTTTTTTTTCCAATTTTTCCCCTCAGACCGCAAGTCATATTCGATTTTGTTTTTGATTGTTGAAGAAAGGAAGGGAGAGGGGGGGGGGGCGGTCAAAAACGATCAAGAAAGCAGGAAATCAAAGTAAAAGATACCCTGTAGATCCGTGGCAAGAGAATGATCCCTGGGGACCACTGGATAGGAAACACAACACACTGGAGGGATACCCTGTAGATAAAGCGTTGAAGGACTGTGTTTAAATGGGAGCAGCCGAAGGGCGGCACATTTCCACTCATACCAAAGACCCCAGAAACCCTCCAGCAATGCTCTGTCCAGGGTATCATGGCGGTGGATGCGATTTAGAGCGTGTGTCCCGCCATGTATCCGCGTGTCAAGAGTTCAATTATTTCGCTTAAATGTTTCGCTCCGCTGGACTCCTGATCCGCCGTCGGCTCTCATTGGTTTCTCCCCCCTTCCTGGGCCTTTGCCTTGCCGCTCTCTTTTTTTGGAGAGAGAGAGAGAGAGAGAGAGAAAGCCCACTCTCTGCTAAGTAGAACCACAAATATTGTTGTGCCACATGCCACGGCTGCCCGTACTGCCTCTCTGAGCGGATTTCCGACCCAGAAAAACTCACACGAAAAACTGAAACTGAAATGGAGACCCCAACAGGCAGCAGGCAGCAGGCTGCACGTGGCACGTGGCACGTTTACCTTCTGGCATAATTTCCCTCCCCCTCCTCCTCCTCCTCCACCTTACCGTAAGCCATCTTTCTCGTATCGCATTCCCTAATGTTTCTGCTTACCCGGAAAATGCTGAAAATGTATGCCAAAGCTTTTCATTTTCGTACATTTTCCAGTGGCTCGTCTGGCGCAAACCAAACCACACCACATCAGGAGGGCTCTCTATCGTCCTCCTGGGCAGCGAAGGGCACACATGGAGGGCCCAGCACTCCCTGGCACATTTCCCTCAGACCTACAGATGTATGCTCATTAGATGGACCCCCCACAAAAACTCGGAAAAGAATACAGAGTCTGCAGCATTTCTGCAGTGCCGTCTGCCTGCCTGCCTGCCCCCGAGGACATGCCACAGATATTTGGTCTGCAATTTGCGTTCTGGGAATGGAAAAAGGCAATTCCCATTCCCATTCCCATTGCCAGTGCCAAGCCATTGGCCATTGGCTTGTGGCCAGAATTGTGACTGGAAATTACAACTTTTCTGTGTTACATTCGTTGGCCTCAACAAATCCAGCCCTTAATCCTGCTCATCTCTGAAATGGCTTATCCCTTTAGCACTTGAAGTCCCCAATAGTTGAGACTCTGCTATTCTTCCACACTTTAAAGCCCCCAAGGATGTCCGCACTCGATGGACCCCTTGGAGGATGATCGTTCAGCACTCTCAAGTCTCCATTGATGATGTTTCTGGTGTTTGTCCACTTTAAAGCTCATGGTTTCGGCTTCTTTTCTTCACCAAGAATGATAATCTTTTACACTCAAAGCCCTCCCCCCCAAGGATCTCCGAAACAGATCATTTGTAAACGGGGGGGAAACAATCGAAATGCTGTTAATGCGATTCAAACACCGAATCGAAGGACAATTGGGGGCATTAATCACCTTTCGAGTGAACCATTTGGGGCCATTCAGACCATGTGGCAAGTGTCAAAAGGGGCGTGGCCACGCAATTGCAATTAAAATGAGACGCCCTGGGCAGGCGGCGGCCATTAGGCGGGGAGGCGGGGAGGCGGCTGCAAGGCATTGATAATCTAGAGGGGCGGAGCAGATGACAGCCTTCGCCAATGGCTTCATTACATCATTTAAATGCCTGTTGTGTTGTCTATTAAGCGACCACGAGTGCCACGAGCCCCCAGTGCTGCCCCCTCTTAAGTGCGTGGCAGTGGCAGCTGTCAAATGGAGGCGAACAGCCGGCGACCTGTATAGCAAAAGATTCTCTCCTGTGCTGTTCGTGGCTGCTGTTTCTGTCGTCGTCAACAAGTCGTCTGCTGGGCGGGAAGGAAGAGTCACGTTACGTGACTTGGGGCACAGCTTTAAGGGACATTCGTGGCACAAGTTTCGTTCCGAAAGTTCTGATAATGGGCGGCATACGTTGCGTATTAGTAACATTAGTGGGAAAAGCCATGGAACAAAGCGGAACACCCTCTACTAGTTGTTTTTGGTCTGTGTGGGCTTTCCACGAAACGAAATCCAATTCAATTATGATGTGCCGGGAAATTAGGCAAATACTTCCACATACTGGAGGCTTTTCCCACCTCAAAGGGAAACCCATTCTCCCCTCTTCGATGTTTCCACTCAATGGATTAATTATTCCCTTAAATAAAACTTGGATATCCCATTTGGGCCAGAGTTTATCCCCCCGTCTTTTGCCCGCTGCCACAAGTCAGAACTAAGCCTCACATTTTGGGGCAAATCCCTGGACGAAAATCGTTCCTCTGTAACGATTTAATCACTGTAAAGGAGCGCCCTCTCTCTCCCGCTCTCCCCCTCCCTTTTCTCTCTGGTGCCTGGTGCCTGGTGCCTGGTGCCTGGCCCCTGGTGTCTGGAGAGATTTTGCGCCTCACTAAATCTCCTAACAAGATGAAAATGCATGGAAAAATGCTGAAAACTGAATTTATTTCATTATATTTTCTCAATAATCTTTCACTTTATGGCTGACAAAATACCTTGTTTGGTTTTCGGTTTTTCGGTTTTCGGTTTTTGTGTATTTGTTTGGCTGCAAACAATGGAATACAATGGAATTTGCGAAGCCTACGGGGATTTATGGGGAAAACACCTAGTCACAGAGTGGGAAAACAGCATTGAAAATTGTTTGGCCAACCACTGAGCGAGTGAGTGAGTGAAGCACCATGGAAAAAGTGTCAGATGGTCAGGAAAATTCTCTTAGAGCTTAGAGAAAAATGCTGAAAAAGCCATTGAAGCAAGTCAGCAGGACAACAACACGTTTAATTAAATGTTGGACATATTTTTGCATGACTCAAAGTTTGGTTTCCGGTTCGGGGCAAAAGTCTGTGCCGTGTCCTGCCCCGTTCGCTCCTTCGGTTTGCTGTTGCATATTTTCCCATTTGTCTAATGGAATTACGAGAACACAAGTCCAAAGGTTTCGAGGAGGGCAGGGCAAAGTCTCACATTCAAGGAGGGCCGAGGATGGGCCGAGGATGGGCCGAGGATGGGCCGAGAATGGGCCGAGGATGGGCCGAGGATGGGGCGTCTGATGGAAAGGAAATGATTCCACATTGAATCCACATTCCCCACAAATCAGGTTCTCCATAAGCCGCTTTTAATAAGCAATAATCTCTTTGGAAGAGAAACAAAGCCCACCTTCTATTCCCTGCCTAAAAGGTTCTTCCATTTATACCATTCATATTTTGTGGTCCCTCGCGCCTTGAACTTTGTTTGCATTTCCGTTGGCATGTGGCATGCAACATTTCCCATCATCACGTAATAAAAGTAGGTGTCCTGCCACTGCCACTAAAACGTGTGCCTTCTGTTTGTCTCATTACAGGAATCTACATCGACACGCTGCTTGAATATTAAATATCAGAAATATTGGGAATATTGAGAGTTTCCAAATAATATAAAAACAGTAATTTTAATGAGACGCCAAAGCCGCTGGCTGCCGCCTGTCAACAGCTGAACGGCGAGGGAGCGAACAGCAGGGGGGAGGGGGTAGGAGGCGCCGCCTCTCTGGCCCAAAAAAAGAGGCGCACGCAGCACTCGACCCTCGGTTGGCGGTCGAGTCAATCAACAGAGGACTGCTCCACCAGCCACCAGCTCCTGGTCTCATCATTCACTGGACAACAACAACATCATCATCGCCATCGCCATCGCCCTCATCGCCCTCATCATGGTCACGAACATGTCGCAGCCGCATTATTGCGGCACTGCCATCGATGATTTCCACACAAAGTAAGTGCGAAGTCGCTTTTGCTTTTCCAGGGGCAAAAGGGCAGGCGGAAGCACCGGGGATGGGGCCAAGGCCACGCGTGATATAGGGGCGATGCTGCTGATGTCTGGCTCTGGGGATGTCTGCATATTAATTACTCTTTGATGCCCTGTACTCTGGGCAGCAGGGAGGAAGCTTCTTTCCGTCAGGAGAAACTCGGCTTCTGTGGGGAAATGTTCGTGTCGCCAGACATGAGATTCGCCCTCCCATTAGAGGGTATCTTCCAGCCCATATGTAGGCCCTTTCAATCGCAAATGCAATTTGCATAATGATTTGACGTGGCCACGGGAATCGCCTGTAATACAATCACGTGTGTAATGGCCCCTGGAAAAGGGTGTGGGAATCGCTGCTCTAATCCGAATGTGCCCTCTCCTCTCCTCCCCCGCTCTGCTCGTTTCAGCTACAAGTATTTCCATGGCTACTTCTCGCTGATTGTCTGCCTGCTGGGAACGATAGCCAACACGCTGAACATCATTGTACTGACCCGCCGCGAGATGCGCTCCCCGACGAACGCGATACTCACGGGCCTGGCGGTGGCAGACCTTGCGGTGATGCTCGAGTACATACCCTACACGATCCACGACTACATCTTGAGCGCCCGCCTGCCGCGGGAGCGGCAGCTGAGCTACGAGTGGGCCTGCTTCATCAAGTTCCACTCGGTGTTCCCCCAGGTGCTGCACACGATCTCCATTTGGCTGACGGTCACCCTCGCGGTGTGGCGCTACATAGCCGTCAGCTATCCGCAGAGGAATCGCATCTGGTGCGGCATGCGGACGACGCTGATAACCATTGCCACGGCCTATGTGGTGTGCGTGCTGGTGGTGTCGCCGTGGCTGTACCTCGTCACGGCCATTGCGAAGTTCCTGGAGACGCTCGACGCGAGCGGCAAGACGGTCCACTCGGTGCCGCTGAGCCAGTACATTCTGGACTACAATCGCGAGGAGGACACCGTCACGATGCAGGTGATGTCCAGCACGACGCCGGAGATCTCTTGGATGCAGCACAGGGGCTACAGCAACGCCTCGCTCACCACGGTGGTGCCTCTGACGACGACCACGACGGCAGCGGGGGACCTGCCCGGGGTGCGAAACGTCACCGTGTTCAAGCTCTACCACAGCGCCCTCGCGCTGCACGACCGCCAGCTGAGGAACGCCACGTTCCTCATCTACAGTGTGCTCATCAAGCTGATACCCTGCTTCGCCCTGACGGTGCTCTCCGTGCGGCTCATTGGCGCCCTGCTGGAGGCCAAGCGGCGGCGCAAGGTGCTCGCCTGCCACGCGGCCAGCGACATGCAGCCGATCGTCAACGGCAAGGTCGTCACGCCCACGCCCACGCCCAAGAGCTGCAAGCTCCTCGAGAAGGAGAAGCAGACGGATCGCACCACGCGCATGCTGCTGGCGGTGCTGCTGCTCTTTCTGATCACGGAATTTCCCCAGGGTATCATGGGTCTGCTGAACGCCCTCCTGGGGGACGCCTTCTTTCTGCAGTGCTACCTGAAGTTGAGTGAGTGTTTGGTCCCTTGTCCCTTGTCCCTTGGGGCTCCCTTGGCTCTTCTAATCCCTGCCTTTCCAGGTGACCTGATGGACATTCTGGCCCTGATCAACTCCAGCATCAACTTCATTCTCTACTGCTCGATGAGCCGGCAGTTCCGCACCACCTTCACCCTGCTGTTCCGGCCCCGCTGGCTGGAGCGATGGCTGCCCCTGTCGCAGCACGACGCCGATGGCCGCCACGGCGGGCAGCGGGAGGGGGGCGGCAGGCAGCGACTGCTCCACACGGACGCCGTGAGCAAGAGCATGGCCATCGATCTGGTGGGTCTCACGACGCAGGTGACAAATGTGTAGCACGAGAGCAGCGGCCGCGCCAACACTGCATCGGCCACAGCACCAGGGGGTGGGGGTGGGGGATGTGGTGTGGCTGCAGCCAATGACATCAGTATGGTGGAGATGTTGAACAGGGAACAGCCCCAGCCCCAGCCCCCGCCGCAGCCCCCGCCCGCGCCCGCGCCCAAGGGGACTGCCGCCAGCGCCCGCCGGAGACAGCGCCGTGGCAGTGGCAAGTGCATTTGGCCCTCGACCGAGTGGCTGCGCAAGCTGAGAGCCAACCGAACGCTCTCGGCGGCCGCGGGGAGCAGCGAGGAGCAGCTGGATCCGCAGCCGCAGCGGCGCAGCAGTGTCCTGTTGATGGTCCTGCTGCACAGCTCGTCCACCGACGAAATGAAGGCCAAGGCGGTGCTCGTCAACGAGGAGCAGCAGCCGCGCGACGACCAGCCACAAATCCATCCGCAGGACGACGTCGAGGATGCCATCGATGCTCTGTGGCTGTAAGCCACCCCCTCCCCCGCCCCCTTAGATTAAGTAATACCTAATTAATAACTAATATTTAGATAAAGACCAACAAAAATAAAAAAAAATGGTTTTCTATTGCTGCTTCCAAGCCCCACCGCCTCCCGCCACTCCCCCCCGGCAGTGCAGTTGCGGATCGAGAGCCCCTTTCCGCATCGGCCTGGCCTTTCGGGGGGGGGTGTGGGGCTTGGGGGGGGTGGAGCCGAGCAGCATACCAAACGCATTTTGTGGCGCCACTTGATGAGGTGATACTTACGATTAAGAGTGACCTTTAACACCCTCCCCCTACCCCTCCCCCACCCCCCTCTAAATACAGTTGTCTAAGTGCAAAGCGCATCATTTAGTTGTAGTTTAACTATGGATAAATTGGAATGATTTCTAGGCATCTAAGATCTAACAAATTCAACAAAAAATACATACATAAATCTTTTCTTGTGGAAAATAAAGTCTAAGAAGAGGAAAACTCCCTCAAAGTTCTGTTTGTTTTGGCCTTGGAGGATTCCTGCTGCCAAATTCTGCCCTCAATTTAATTTCATTTCCCCTTTAAGCTGCTCCTCTCCTGTGATTGACACTCAAACATCAGGCAGACACTCGTTCGCCGTTCGCGCATCTTTTGGCCCGCATTCCGCTGCCATTCTGTTGCCATTCTGCTGACACTCTGCTGGCACTCTGCTGGTATTAAGGCCTAAATGAAATAAACGAGTAGCAAACGACAAATGACAGTAAAAAGTGAATGAAAAACAAATGGCAGCAGTGTTTGGAGACCGTTGATTAATTGTAAGTTTAATCAAATGGTGGGGGCGGACAGGGCAGGGCAATGCGTATTTGTCAAAGTGAAGTGGACTGATCGATAAACGAATAAAAGATACCCAGCAGAAGGGCAGCACAAGAGCCATTGGGAATGCATCCATCGGGGAAACCTCTACTCTTCGTTTTATTACATATTTCCCACAGAAAAGGCAGATATGGTCCTGCTTTTATGGTCCCTAGACTCCATTATAGGGGAACTTTTGCTAGAATCCTTTCAGATAGATTGCTGGGAGTAAAAAGGGAAGGAATCTTCCTTTTCTTTTCCGACTTTAGCCCCAGATGCGAAATAGGGAGATCTTTCAGGGTTCAGGATTAAACTAAGGGATGCCACAGGTACAGGAATGCGGTACCTATTACACGGGTAGTATGCCAGGCATCCAGAATGCCTATTAGTATCTCCTTCGGTGTCTGGTAGACAAAAGGTTAGACTATATCGAGTCAAAGTGGTGTCAAAGTTCTCTCCTGAATCTTTGTTTTTCCACAGACAAGCACGGAGGAACCTGGCCATAAGGAGCGTCTTTCAAATACGAGTTTTCCATTTCTATCTCCCCACATTCCATCTTTCTTTGGCGCATATAGGGTACACGAAAAGCACAAACAGATGACCCAATTTGTAGCCTGCTAATGGCCAGCACTTCAGCATTCGTTCAATGGCCGACAGATACTTAAAATATGATGTATCTTCATGGCTTCTAATGCAAAAACAAAAGATACTTGCCCCAAAAAAGATGCCTCAATCGATTAACAAAGAAGGAGGGACGTGGAAGGAGGTGCCGTCTGCTCTTCGGAAATTAGAAAATTCAAAGTGTTTCATCACTCACTGCGGAGGGAGGGAGTGTCACTCGCCCCCCAAAACGCGGGGGGGACTGTCATAAATTTTTGATAAAGGACCTCCACCAGGCCGTGGGCGTGGGCGTGGACGCGGGCGCAGATGGGCATTAAATTTCCCCTCCAAGACATTGCCTTGCATAATTATCACTTTCTTTTTGGCGGAAATTACAATTTGAGGCCAGCATTAATTTATAGATTTTCCATAAATGCACATTTTCCGATTCATTTAATGCGAAATACATTTTTGCTAAATTAATTTGCTAAAAAAAAAAGGATAAAGAAAAAGAGAAAAAGTTAGAGATAAACCCGGAAAAGCCAAAGAAGAAAATGTGTAAAACAATGACCCATCCCCCCCACACCCCATTTCCCCAAATGCGAAAATTAATAAAGTGTTTGAGGGGTGAAAATTAAGACTAAATTAGTGGAAATTATGGATTTATCAGCTCTTAAAAATAAATCAAATGCAGCTCGGAAACTCCCAGGGGATTGAAATATTTGCTAATTACGTATTCATTTTATAATGACTCAATGCCAAAGCCAATTATGCTGGCCAAATGGCAATTATGGGGCTTTAATGGAGCTAATATATTTAATGTGTATTTTTTTGGTAAATTTTAAATGGATTTTAATGAAGGAAAGCACTGAGGGGACACCCCTTTTTCCATTGGAAATTACAGATATTCAATGAATACATGATTATTGCTTGAATTTATAAATGAACTCTCTTTGAGGCAACTTCCAGCAAATTCCAGCTAATTTTTGGGTTGAAAATTCTTAAAAAAAAAGAATAAACTTTCAGCTTTTTAAAGTTGAAAATCTCTTTAAAAAGGCTTCAAGCAGACACCCTACTGAAGAGGTGGAAATGTCACTGATGTCCTATGAGTGGCAATACAATCGAAAAGCTAATGCTAAAAGCAGCTAAAGAACAGTCGGATTAAAGTCCAGTAAACGGAGGGAAACCCGAGGAATGGAAAATGGCAACAGCGAACAGTTTTTGCAGGGAAAAACCTATCAAAAGCAGAGTAAAAACCCCACAGGAAATGGCAGTTGTGTTTCGCAAGCCAAACCCAATCAATTATGAATCAATTGCCAATGAAACTATCTGTTTGCCAGCTTCCCTAAAACCCCAACTAATTATTTAAGAGGGGGAAAACAGCTCAAGTGAAAAACCCCCCCATTCGTTGATTCGTTTGCCCTTTTTTTGCAGTTAAAATATGGAAAATATTACCCTCACTGCAGAGCATATTTTCTGTTTCCTTCTGTTTCCGCTAAATCATCATCAGTTAATTATAAAATCCACCAACGCCGGGGGCCAGAGCATTTTCCCCAAATGCAATTGTTACAAATTTCATTGAGTTAAGCGCCACATCAAGGCCGCCGCCGAGCACGAGACCTAGAACTTGGTGGCGGGAAAAGGGGGGCCATGGAGAGTGGCTGGACCTTGGCTCTGAAAATTTTCGACTGTTTAACGAGTGGCGCCACAGCTGGCCGGGCACTGGCGGCAAAGGCCAAAATAGAAATTAGCATAATTGCTGGGTCCGAGCGGGAGGAGAAAATTCAAATGAAGGGGAGGCACCACGCCCCCCTCTAATTACCCTGTAATTTATGCCTGCCCCCTCGCGTCGCTCGATGTGTGAACATTTTTGCAGAGCAATTTCATGTCAAAACTTTTGATTGATTTACGCCACGCTCTGGCACTCCTCCTCCCCCCCCTCCACACTCTCCAATCGGGCGGAGAATAGCCTGTCAATCAATGAATTTTCCACTGGCTCTCGCATGGAATTTCCCATTGTCTCATTGATCGTTCATTAATAAGGGGGAAAAAACTTGAATTTGATTACGAAAATTCGTCCGAAGGCATAAAAGTTTCTTTTCTTCAAACAGAAATCTCATCCCAGGTCTTTTTCCCCACATTTCCATCGTGTATTCCCGCCGTCATGTGGGAATTTTCCATAGCGTTTGTCATCTAGGAAATTTCCTTGACGATCCGTAGATTCCCCCCCCCCCCCCCCCCCCCCCCCCCTTCGAATATTTATGTGTTATCGTTAGCCAAAATCCATTGACAGCTGCGGCTCTTGACGACCTCACACGCCACATGCTCGCCTTGTTTATAGGCCAATGTCTTTCCTGGGGGGAAAACATATTTCAAAAGGAGTTTGGCGCATATTCTGGGCCATAAATTGCAGAGCTTTCAATGAAAACTAACGGAAATCCATGGAAATCCGGGACTATGATTGATAGATGGCATGCCCTTCGATGGAGCAGATTCCAAGAATGTTGGAGCATTCAACGTGTCTGCAAAGGTCTCTAATTAGGGGGGAAAATTCTCACTTTTACAATGAAATTGGAACCAAAAAAGTCACATAGTTTCGATGGAAATTTGCCACTGAAAACTGGCTTACTTTCGATGGACAATTTCCACTGAAAACTGTCTTGCTTTGGGTGGATAATTTCCACTGAAAACCTTCCTGCTTTGGCTGGACATTTTCCACTGAAAACCTTCCTGCTTTGGCTGGACATTTTCCCCTGAAAACTGTCCTGCTTTGGGTGGATAATTTCCACTGAAAACCTTCCTGCTTTGGGTGGATAATTTCCACTGAAAACCTTCCTGCTTTGGCTGGACATTTTCCACTGAAAACTGGCCTGCTTTGGCTGGACATTTTCCACTGAAAACTGGCCTGCTTTGGCTCGACTTTGGACAAGTTTGACGCCACCTGAACAGAGCGAAACTTCAGAGAAATCTTGGCCTGTGAAAGCAGAACCTCGTCCGCTTTCATCTTGATTCGCCCGAAGATTCCCTCAAGACTTGTCCCTGGACGTGGCGCATATTCAGGGCAGTAATGCGAAACCTGAATCCACCTGAAGGAAACCCTAAGCCTCCCCCTCCACCTCCTGCCAAATCCACCACCAATTTACCCAATTTATCAAATGCGCAACAAAAATACAAAACCCAAATCGCAATAGATTGTCGCCTGCCCCACGTTCGTGCCACACAATGAAATACAGAAACAAAAACAATGTCAAGTCATTTGTCAACAGAACAGAAAAGTGATAAATGTTTTAATTATGGGCCGCCTTGCCCCTCCCCCCCGCCCCTGCCAGCCAAGAAAATATTAAATTGCGCGACATTTCTCGTTGTCAAGGTGCTGGCTTCCACCAAAGCCAAAGGTTGCCCGAAGGTCTGAAGGTCTGAAGGTCTGAGGTCCAAAGGGCTTGAGCTTCAGCTTTCTACGTGGCCATCAAAATCTAGGGATAATTTGCCCCTTAAATCCCTTTTTTCAAAGTGGTTTCTCTTCAGATGATGGCCGGGGCCAAAGATCTGCGACTTCTTGTGCTTCCCTTTGGCGGCGCCTCTGCCTTCCGCAACACGTGGCGTATACGCAATGGCGGAGCCTTAAATTATTCACCAAAGACAGATCCATCGACGCCCATGCTGATTTATGCTCTGATGCTTTCTGCATTTTATTTTTGGGTGGGTGGGGCGGTGGGGGGGGCCTAAGGAAATTGTGAAATATTTATTTGTGCAAAAATTAGGGCCAACA